AGACAAAACTATAGCAAGGCATGAACTTCCATCTGATAGTGATGCTGCTCTGGTTTTGTTTACTAAAACTAATCACTCACAGCCTCAGTGATTAAGAAGTTGAAGACCTTGAAAAAAGTTGGGATATTAAACTCCCTTGCTGCATTCTGCTAACTGCTGGAAAGACTGTCTGGGAATGTCACAGTAGCTCCTGAAACGTGGCCTGTGTGAAGCCCTGTTTCAAAGGTCATCAACTGGAAGCATCTGCAGCTGCGTGCAGAGCAGAGGAGGGCCAGCAGAGGGCTGATGGCAAAGGAAAGGAACCAGGAATCGATCTTGCGCAGCTAGGGGAGGAGGAGTGACAGGTTCTAGATGGACCCTTGGATCTATCATTGCCATGGGCAGTGGGAGGACAACTTTAGAGATCCTCATGGTTTTAACTGATAGGGGAAAAATCTCTGAGCAAGTGATTTTATTCATCTGAACGACCTTTTTCTCATGATCTTTCTACCCCCAACTGTCTGCTCCCCTGTTTTGCTTAGGGTGAGTACATGGTTTCCTCTTTCTGTTGCCTTTCTCTCCTTTCCTGGTGAATGGGACTGGACATAGGAGAAACTTCTTGACTCAGTGGAGGACCCCAGGCTCTACTCCAACCCTGGCAGAATCCTATGATCCCTGAGTAATGGTTCGTTGTTCCTCTGAGTGGCCTACTATATACCATTAGCCAAGAGCAATGGGAGTATTTGTGTGAAAAGTCCAGTTGCTTTGATAATTCCAGAAAAAAGATGGGAAGCCCTGGAAGATGAGGCTCTCCTGACTTTCTGATGTTGGAACTTGAATTTTTCCCTGGCTGTGGAGGTAAAGCTAAATTAGATGTCCAAGGTGTTGTTCTCTCCATCATCTGTCCACCCTCTTGCCAGTGTGGACAGCAGCAGAAGAGGGACACTCACAGTCTAGTATAAGCTGAGGCCTGACTGAGGAACAGAAGCTTTCTGCAAATTCCAGACAGTGGAGATTGGCAAGAAAGCATCACCGTAAAAGAAGAGAGTGGAAGGAGAGAAGGAGTTTATTTCCAAAATAGGAAATAAATTGGGAGAGAGTGATGAAATAGAGATCACAGGTAAAACGTTTAAAATGGGGAGCGATAGAAAGAGTCAACTCTAGAAAGAAATCAGAAAAGATAAAGGATTTAAGTATCTATTTTTTTAAAAGAAATAATTGTAGACACTGACAGTAACAGTTTCTGCAGAAGAGTGAGGGAAGAAAACTGATGCTAAATCAGTGGAATGGTCATTGTTTCTTGTTATATAACACCCCCACAAACTTAGTGGCTTGCAAAAAATTACCTATTTATTTTCTTGTGGTTTTTGTACATCAGTGGTCAGGGCATGCCAGAGTCGGGTTCTCAAGGTGCGAGAAGCTCTGTCCTCTCAGGGGACTCCATCACAAGAGGATCTGTTTCTGAGGTCTCTTGTGGTGTTAGCAGTATTCATTTCCATGAGCTGTAGAATTCTCGGCAGCTTACTTCTCAGAGTGAGCAGCAGAAAAGAGCTCACTTGATTGGGTCATACAGATGTAGGGTAATATCTCATTTAATTAATTTAAAGTTATACGATTAAAGATCTTAATTACATCTGAAAAATCTCTTCATTGTTGTCAGTTTCTGTTAGTTCCAATCAAGACACGGTTTTCATCCACACTCAAGGAGAAGGAATTATACAAGGCTGTGACTCATTTTAGTGTACATTGGCCTCAAGAATTAAGGCAACCAATATGGTTGATGGTGCTCTATGTATTTAACTGAGGAGAGAACAGTTTGGGCCTGTAACTGTGGAATATATAGGATTATAAAAGATCTTGGTGTATGTATACACATTTTAATCAATTAGCTTTTGCTGTTTAACAAACCAAGCTAAACTTCAGTGTTTCTAAACATGACCATTAGATCAAAAAACTGCTGGTCAGTAGTTTGAGCTGTGTTCAGTTGAGTGGTCCTGCAGGCATGAGCCAAGCTTAGCTGATCTTTGTTGTGGCTTGCTCATGTGTCTGTGACAGTTGCTGGGTTGGGTTGGTTGGTGGCTGGTTAACTGTTTGATGGCTGGTTAGTTGTCTGCTGAGATGTGGTCTTACATCTTCCAGGAGACCAGCCCAGGCTCAGTTGCATCATAACAATGTTCTGTACCCAGTCAGGCTCAGTGAGAAAGTATTAAGGGTCAAGGAAAAGTGCTTTGCTGTTACTAGAGAAATAGTAAGATAGGGTGGGCACTTTTACTACCTGCCAAGATGATTGAGATTTCTGCTATGTATTTATGTTAGAATGAGAGAGCTAGTAAAAATACAAAAAAGGATGACTGCATAAGACATGAGGGATAACCGAGGAAATAAAATCCCTAAGAACACAGGGAGAGTACGCTTTTTAAAAAGTGAAAGGTGACCATTTTTCCTTAGGATAACGGAAGTGGAATCAAAGTTAATGTAGAAAAAATTGGCTTCCTCATAATCTCAATTTTGCTTGGAGAAAAGAAATCCACTCTGAATTAATAGGAGAAGTGGGAGGTTGAGGGGTTAGAAGAGTGTTGGCTGTTTGGAAGGGCTGCTGTGCAGAATGGGAGAGAAAGCAAGTTTCCAAGAGCAGAGAAAAACAAAACAACAGCTGAGAGGCACGGGGCCCAGCTGAAGACATAGACCCCAAATTTGCAATGAAATCAACATGGGGAGCCTTGTCCAGCCCATATGTAAGCTGAGCGAGGTGGCTGTGTACAGGGGCAGGAAGTCACATCCTGAGCCGGTGCCTGAACACCACACAACTAACATGGTGGGCTCAAGTTTTCCTTTCAGCAGCTTTAAGTAGACAGAGTCCAGGAACATAATGGCAGCTAACCTTCCTCAATAATTTCATTAAAAGTATGATAAAATTTAGAGTTATTTATAGTAGGTAAAATATCAGTTAATGTAGAAAAGTGGCTGGTAATTAAAAGTCATGATCTTGAGGAATTGGAGGGAAATGTCTTTTTTGTCTGAATGAGACCTTCAAAATTATGAACTTAAGGTCTTAACATAGTCATAATTTGATAATTAATTGAGATAAATCAATGTTTTTGTCATATATGTTGGAGTCATTTCGAAACAACGTGACTGAAAAGGTGATGGGATTTTTGTGGCCATTGGTATTAATTGACAAAGTTCCTTATCAAACTGCTATCCAGGCAAGGCACAACATGTTCAGATGCTCTGGGGAGTCATGAAATATCTCCTTTCTTTCTGTAAAGAGAGATCAATTATGGGAACAATTAAAGAGGCTTTTCATTTATAGTCAAAAGAAAGCCCAAATGAAACAACACAGCAGCAATAATAAAGCCATGAATATACTGGTAATTCTGAAAGAATGACTCCTTAAACATTAAATACTAATGCAGTTACAAATGATACATGAAATGTTGTCATTCTTGTAGTTACAGAAACATTGTGCTGACCAGTTAGTGGTATTTGGATTTAAATATATTCTCTAACCATATGAATCACTTATATAAACACTGGCTAAACACTTGTTACTAAGTAAAACTTGTGTGAGGAAATTGTTAAGCTTTCTTTTTCAATTTGACTGAATTCAGCTTTATTTAAAATTAACCCTGCTTTTCTGATATTCTGGGTTATGTCAGTGTGTTCAAATATTATTTATGTGGTAAAAATTTTGTGTTGCAAATGTGCATATGAATGCACATAGAAAACGAAGTAGTTTTGGTAAGTTCACTCAGAACCTAAGAAGTTTGGGATGAGATGTTTGAGTTTGTCAGTTTTAAATATTTTTGGATCTTAAAACTCTGTGGCATGAAGATCTTTGCATTGGGTTTGATGGATACATAACATGTTCCAAATCAAAATCAAGAAATAGCTTTTACTTTATTTATAAACCGAGATTTTTTGCCAAGTTTAACTGTTATGTTCATGCACATTTTCATGTTGAGTTTACTGCAATATGCATGTGTGTGTGCATATATCTTCACATTCATTGATATTTTAATGGCTGATAGTCCTCATTCATTAGCGATGTACAGTTGTCTTTACAGATAGAAGCAAATCGTGAATTGTGGAGAGAAATTGTTGTTTAAAAGGCTTTAGAATCACTTGTTGTTTCAGAACTTGCCTTAAAGTTCTGGATGATTTTTTACATGGTACAAGAATACATATAACTGGCTATTTCAAAGGTCTTTATCTGCCTCCTCTTATGGAATCAGACGTTGTCTTTTTACTCCACCTTTATTTGGCGAGTAAGAGATGCAGTGCCTTGGTTCGGACAGAAGGTATCAAGAAGTCCTCTGGCTTCTCTTCTTGTGAACAAGAGCCTACTGTTTCCAGCAGAGCCCCACCTTTCGTTCAGTGTTCATTAAATGTTACTGTGAAATGTTCATTCTGGCAAGTCGTTAGGGAAAATAATCTGAAACTCCCTCTCTATTTTGTACTTTGCTTTCACTCTCTCAATTTATCATTCCATGTTGATGTTGGAAGCTTCTTTTGAATTTTGGGCACTTTTTCCAGTTCACAATACATAGGTGTCAGTAGTCCAAGTGTTTAGAATTTCAAACATTAAGGGTATGTCAAATGTTTTTAGGATTGTCGTCATTATTATTATATTATGATTTACAGTCTTAAAATGGAAGCAAATCTAATTCTTTTCTAAAATGAAGTATAAAATTTATACTGATGGTGATTTAAATATTCAATTCCAAATTAAGGTAATTATTTTAGTTATTGTCAATGAACTATGTCCCAAATGCAAACGTATTCCAGGGAATAAATGAGGTACAGGATACAGTACCTCACAGTTCATTCACCACTTATTTCAAATTCAAAGCGATGGCTCATGAACGAAACCGAAGTTCATTTTTATGAAGACTTAAGGTGTCTCTCCTCTTTGGAACTTGTGGCAACAAGTGGAAAGACTGTTTGCATGATCACACAGTGACAAAAATATCTTGGTAGTTTCGTAATGTCCTGTTTCAACCTATTTCTCTTTCCTCCAGCTAACTTCTCCCACCACCCCTGCGCAGCTTGCCAGTAAGTCACCTCCTTTCTCCTTTGTTTCTCCAACTAACCAGCGAGCGCGGCCCGTCCCCGCTAACCTCGAGGAGCTCCGCACCCGCAGGCTGGACACCGCTGGCCCCGCGCCCTGCCCGGCCCCCGAGGGCGGCTCCCGGCTGTCCGGGCCCCACGCAGCCCGCCCCGGGGAGGCGGCCCAGAAGCCTGGCCCGGCCTCCGAGGCTCAGAAGCAGACCCCGCCTGGGGCCTCGCGCGCCCTCGGCCCCCAAGAAGGCCCTGGAGCCCCTCGTTCGCCGGCAAGCGAGGGCCGGGGCCGGGACGCGGCCTCCTACATCCCGGTGCGCATCGTCACGCACGCGCTCTCTCCGAGCCCGAAGCCCCTGGCCGCCCCCTTCCGCGGCGCTTCCCCCGTCTGTAGCCAGAGGTCGTCCAGCCAGAGTCTCTCCAGGTCAGGGCTGAAGTCCCCGGTGCCCTCCCGGCTGTCCCTTCTCACCGCCATCCTCAAGTCAAACCCTTCTCACCAGAGACCCGTGTCTCCCGCGTCCTGCCCCACCTTCTCGCTCAACTCCCTGGCCTCCTCCACGTCCACGCTTGATCAGAAAGCAAAGCAAACCTCCCCCACGCCGAGAAAGTCCCTCTCCAGCTGCTCCCTGAGGGCCGGGTCCCCAGAGCAAGAAGGGCCGCGGGCTCCGGCGCTGGGCCTCGCCAGGCCAGCCCCCCTTTCTCAGGTGCCCCCCCGCTCTCCAGCCACACTGGCCAGCAGCAGCCCTGCCTCTCTGAGCGTGGAAAAACCACCGTCACCCACTCTGAGGATCGGAGCACCCTGCTCCCAGCCACACTCTGGCGCATCCGGTGCTGCTACTCTCCCCCCTGGGCCCGCAGGCTCCTGTCCTCTTTCTGCTTCAAAGGGCAAACAGGATGCTGACTTCAGGCTTGGAGAAAAGCCCAGGAATATTTACACGCACCCTTCTGCACTAGCTTCTGCTCCGTTGTCTTCACCCATTCATCAAAGCGCCACGCTCTCCTCTCCAGAGAAATATTTCTATCCTTCCCCGGCCCTCTCACACCTGATAGAAAGGTCCAGAAAAGCATCATCCCAATTATCAAGCCAGAGGCCGAGTCGCTCAGCCCCTTCTCCACTCCCTCGCTCCAGCTCCAGCTCCAACGGCAGCGCTGCCTCCTTTCCCAGTCTGGAGTCTTCCCTCCTCTCTTCTGCTGACCCGCCCAGTCGGACACTCCCTCACAGTCCTGCTGCCCTGAGCCCTAGGTGTGGCAGAAACACCCTGCCTGCGAGAATGGGGAAACCCGAAAGCACAAAACCCAGCTGCAGATCGCCTGTTTCGGCCCCAACACCACCCATTTCTCTAACAAGAACCAAGGACCTGGTTTCACCTTTTGCATTGTCCCTGGCAACAAGCCCTGAAAATAAGAAACCCAAGGTACTTTTTGCGTGTTGCATGTTGCATGCTAATTTTGACATCTGGAAGAGATTTTTTTTCCCCCAGGGAAGAATAAATAATTATGACATTCATTCTACTTCTGTAGAGTGTATGTGCATGTAGGAGGGGCACCAGAATTTGGTATATTTGAATGCAGAGGTGAATTATAGTCTGTCTGAAATTACTCATTTCCTAAGATAACTTCTTTGTCTTTAGCCCAAGAGTTTTGTTGAGGCATCATATTAGTTATAACATTGGTCTCATTGACAGAATTAAAAGTAGCAAGCTGAAATTTAGGAATAGGACACATTTCTGGCTACTTAATAAGAGGGACCCTATATTCCATCAAAATATCCTATAGCGATGATATAATAGACAGGATTGGTTAATTTAAAAATATTCACCAATATTATAGACTAAAGCCCATCCTATGGGCAAGAGAGTTTGAAAATTTTGTTTTTCTTGTCTATATTCATTTATAATTATTAATTTTCTCTCCCTTCTTCCAGGTTGATTTCTTTATTGCTCCCATACCAACAGCTAAATCTGTACAGATTTAGCTATGTACATATAGGGGAAAAGGGAATAGAAATTTCCATTATATGTAAAAATTATTTGGATTATTACAAACAGTTATTTGGCAATTATGAACTATAGTGAATAAGGTGGGTATAAAGAAATAGAAGGAAAGGAAGAGAATGCTGGTTTTTAAATACTCCAAAGCAGTCCGTTGAGCAAGGATGTGAGAACAGCATTTACTTGAATATGAGTGGGGAAACATTTGAAACAGCATCATCTTGGTCCAGTTCCGCCATGGAAACAGCTGTGCTAGGGCAGGCCAGTTTCTCAACCAGTCTCTAATAACTCAGGGTGTGGATCTTACACCCAGAATTTGACACTTGTTATATAAAGAAAATAAAATTATGAATGTGGCTGTCTTAGATGGAGGTGGGGATTTTCAGTGCTGTGAATTGAAATAATGGAATTTTAGAGGTTTTGCAGTACCATGGAGAACGTCTTTAATTCTGGCACTTTTCAAATGATTAAATAAAGCAATCCTTATGATCATGTAATTGATATTGTAGTACAATTCAGTTTACAAAGCATGTATCAAACATCTGCGTGTCCATCACTATACTAGTTTTCTTTGGAGTACATGTGATTTTTTTTAAAGGAAAGTAAGATATAATTATTTATATTAAAAATTAAATTTTGTCAGCAGAAAAAAATGCATCTAAACAATTTGGAGAGGCTGTGGAGAGTGATTAAGTGTATGATACAGCTAGAATGCCAGTTGAAGTCTCCCTCACTGGACTGTTTCAGGACTCTCCATGGAAACCAATACGCAGATGCTCAAGACTTACAGAAAGTGGCATAGTGTTTGCTATCTTCTCATATGCCAGTCATCTTTAGGTTGCTTTTAAGTGGTAAAATGTAAATGCTGGGTAAATAGTTGACATACAATATTGTTTAGGCAATAATGGCAAGAAAGAAGTCTTGTATGTTCAGTACAGATTTTAAATCCATGGTTGTTTGAATCTATGGATGCAGAAACCATGGATACAGAGGGTTTGCTGTATGAGACAAAATTAACATATAATAATTCAGATTATGAAAAGGTAATTATAGGCTGAGTTGACTATAACAAGAATATTATTATGAGGTATGGTTAGTGGGGGAAGTTATTATATATGGCAGGCTTGTCAGAAATGTTTAGGATTTAGCTTAGTGAAGAGGAAGAGAGTTCTTATTTCAGAAATGAAAAAACAACTTGACCAAATGTACAGAAGATAATCCCACAAGATTGCATGTGGAGACACAAAAATGATTTGCCTTATTGCACAGTAATAGTGATAATAATACCACAGACAGCCAATGCTCCCTGTGAGTTAAGAACTACACTTAACAGTAATACGAAATAGATAAAATATAATTAAAGTGGAAAACTTTAGCTTATTTTTGTAACCCTAGTATCATCTTTATTTTGCATATGCCAAGAAACTGAAGTTCAGTGATTAACTTGTCTAGGTCACATATCTGGTACAGAGCTGACATTTATAAGTCTGTTAATTTTTGAAGCCATATTCTTTCATAGTATGATTCACTGCCACAGAGAAGCAACTAATATTAAATATCAAATTATCCTGACTCTAAGGTTGTTGTGAAGAAAATCATCATTACAGAATAATGACCAGAATTCTTTATGTATATATACTTATGCCATTAAATATTTATTTTTAGAGATTAAATCCTTCTATTTTAAACTTTTAAAGCAAATGAAGGAGATAAAATTTAACTTTTCCATGACTCTAAATATTTATTTAAGGTAAAATGACCTTAATAGCTTTTTAGTACACGTGTGTGATTATGAAATTCACTGTGTTGTTTTTAAAAACTGCTGTGTAATAATTGTTTTCTGAATATATTTACAATCATTTTAAACTTTTGCTGCCATGCGCTTAAATTATTCATTCTTTTGTGAAAAATGACTTTGTGCCAGAATCTTCTTTAGTGTTTCTATTTGTGGTCACTGCTCTGTTCATGTTTGGTCCTTATTTTGGTTACATAGTTGGAAGTGTGAGCCTTAGAGAGATTTTGATAAATTAAAGGCCTATTGAAGACCTATCTTTCCCCAGTTTTCTTTCTGCTCCCAATATTGAAGAATTTTAGCCTTAAATTTTTTCATGTATTTTCTTTATTTCCAAGTTAGGAAAATTCAAGCTTATAGAAATGCATGCTAGATTTAATGAGTGTGAATATGCAAATGAGTACTGTGTACCCACAAGTAGATATTAATCTATTGCTTTGGATAGAAAAAAGTTGACTATCATGGGTAAAATTTATAACTTTTGTAAAAATAGTTGCTCTCTGAGACATACTGCTCCTTTTCATCTTATTTCCTACTTGCCTTTTGCTGTTATCTCCCCATGTTAAAATCAGAAAAACTTACATTTTTTATTACAAGTGATTCTCAAGAATAGTAGCTTGAGTATAAAAATCATTAAAAATGACACCGGGAGAGAGAAATCTTACCTAAGCTTCTTTTGGCATTTGACTGCTTTGTTTAAATTGGCAAGATTATTTTATAGAACGATAGGAGGAAATAGACAAAAGCTTTGTGATATCAAAGCATTTACAGGCTTCCAGGAGCTGTCTCTTGCCTGACTCCTTCTGGTGTGGTGCTAATCAGAGCACAGGCCTTTTCTGAAGTCAAAGAGCTTCAGATTTAGATCAGCTTCTCTCACTCCCAGATCCCAAAGGGTAGGGGTCCTAGAGCACAAATAGTTATCAAATTAAAGCAGAAATGCTTGAAGGATGTTAGTTCCAAGTCTGGGCCCTATTCTCCTTTGATATTAAAATGAAATAGAATGGCTGGAGTATGCTGAGATCAATTCAGATGTAAAGCATGTTTGGTATTTCTTTTTCCTTATAGAACCTTATGATTTAGAATCTGTTTGTCTTAGTCCGATATAATTGATGTTATACTAATTTCAGATGTAGTTTTAAAATATTATTTTGTTTTATATTCATGACTGTTGACAAGATGAGCATCTTGATTGTTGCTCAGGCTGCTCTTTGATCAACAGCTACATTGTCTGAGATACACCCCCCACCTTGGTAAAGACTGGTATCACTAAGTTCATCTACAGGGTCATGTTAGGGTTTCCAAAGTATTTTGCTTTCATTTACAAAAATATTTAAATTCTTCTTCTTGTGAGTTTTCATGGTATTTCCTATGATCTAGTATATTCTGCTACTCATTGAAAACAGTCTGAAGATCTCAGCCAGCTCTGAGGATCGCTAGTGACAGGCCTTGCATTAAAGCTATTTGGACACATACCTTGTTTAGGTAATCAGCTGGGAGCTTTTGCTGTTTCACAAGCCTTCATAGTTGGTGCCCTATTTGTTAAGCTCTCTTTCCTTGAAGGCATCAAAACATTTCCAATTATATTGTACTGGAAATCTGAGGGTAGCAGTCAATATGTGACTTTCTCCATTTCTGCAGAACCACATACAATTTGGGAGTAAGCAGTATGAAATGTAACTCTGTGAACTGCAATAATTAATCTGGGTTCAAAGAAACCATTTGTTCAATAAATATCATTGAGTACCTGGCATATGCTTTTAAGCTGTAAGGATGTTGCAACAAAAAACCCCATACAAATGCCTGCTCCAAGGTAGAAGAGAAATAAACAGCAATAAGCCTTCTAAGGAAATAAGTTGATTGTCTTGTGTGTTAGAGGGTAATAAGTATTATGGGGAAAAGTATAGAGGGGGTAAAGACAATAGGGGAGGAGTGTGGTTGTAGTTTATGTTGATAGGGTAGGCCTTGATGGTTTGAGAGGTAACATGAAAGGAGGTGGTGCCCCTTAAGAGAGTATAGTGAGGAAAGAGCCCAGAGGCACAGGGAGTGCTTGATAGGTGCAAAATATAGATTTGAAGCCAGGCTGGGGGCAGTGGAGTGAGTGACAGCTATGTCTGAGAGAAGCATAACTGCGAGTCCCATCCTGTGGGGTCCTGTATGCCATTCTTTAGTCTTTGATTTTTGCTCTGAGAAGGACGGGAAGCCATCACAGAGCTCCCAATAGATAAGGGACACAGTCCTAGCTGCTGTGTTAAGAATATAGCTCAGGAGTATGAGGGGGAAAGTACAGAGACCTTAGAAGCTGTTGCAGTCATCCAAGTGGATGATGTACTGGCTCTGCCTTGGTTATAGCAGTGAAGGTGAGGATGAGATTTCTGTATTGTGTAGGTTGCATAACAAACATTTGGCAATCATCAAATGATAACCAGCAATCATCAACAATGGTAAGGAGCTACCAGACTTAGTGTCTTTTGGTTTCCCTTTTCTGTTTGTATTTCACTGTCTTTTATCCCTTCTCCTTCAGAAGCTCTTGGTGCCTTTCTAGGGACTTCTGACCTTACGCAGTTGTTCCACTTCTGCTCTGGGACATATTGATCCTAACCAGTCCTGTGGCCTGTTTTCTTGGTCTCCCTTT